CATCTCCTGGCACACGATGGCAAAAAGGTTAGCCATCACTGGGCTAGGTCCTGCCAACTTGTGAGTCTTCAGAAGTTCTAAAATCTTCCTGAATTCAGTAGGACTTTTCTTTTTTAAGTGTGTGTCAAGATTGCTCAGGAAAGGCACTCTGCCATATCACAGCATGTCATTTTACACAATGCAAAGTTTTATTTTTTAAAAAAAAAACTTTTAATTGCAGATAACCAATTAGAGGGTAATCTCTTTTTTTAACTTACATTTTAGTAAAAAGAAGGAAAAACTCAATCATTATCTTGCTTTAAATTCAGTGTAGGACCGTTCCAGAGTAAATGTTTGACAGCACATCAAGGGAGAAGTTTTTGACATTGATCCTAGATAAAAGAATGTGGGTGTTGCAGAAGCTTTTTTAGCCTGTGGAATTCAGAAAGATTATGCTGCTTTATGCGTATTTACTCACATGCACATTCCCATGACTTTAAAGAAGCTTTATCTCAAATAAAACTTCAGCCTTAATAAAGTAGCCTGATTTAAGGAACGTAGCTAATATTTTTTCTTTAAAAAAAACATTGTTATCTCAACTAGCTATTATTCAAGATTTCTTCCCTTATAATAACCATCTTTAACACCGAGGTCATTATGTAAAGAATCAACCTTTCCTGACTCAGGCAATGAATTTTAAGATAATTTACCAAACCACTAACGGTTATATTTCCCCAGGTTAATCAGTCAATACAAAGCACCGTCTTCATTAAATACATTAAATAACACGTGCACTGCCACTCTGACTGAATTGCTGTAACATTTATGTTAATTTGCCAAATAACTGATTAATTGGTTAAAAGGTAGGCAATTAATTTACCATAAAATGGATTAATCAGTGAACAGTCTTTATACAGTAAATGCAAGCTTGGAGAACCCTCAAATGGATAAGTGGTGCCTAATCCTGGATTCCAACAATACACGACCGTTATAAGATAAAGGCTCTGGCATTTTTTGAATGCCAGTGAATTGCATCAAATTATTATTATTATTATTATTATTATTATTATTATTATTATTATTATTATTATTTTAAAGGGTTTTTTTTATTTTTTAGACAAATAAATATTTAATAGATCAGTCATTCCTTCCATGTGACATTTCGGTGTTGTCTCCAAAAGTTCTCCTTTTTGATGTTTCTTCTATCTTCATTTTCGCCAAATCCATTACAACAATTCATCACTAACACAATATTCTAATGGTAGCAATTTTATACATAACTATTAATTTACTTATTTGTATCTCTTTTCTAACCAATGGTAAAATTGATTCCATATCTTAAAGTATTCTGAATCCTCTCTTTCTTTAATCACCAAAGTTAATCTATTCATTTCTGCACAATCTAAATTTTTTTAAATTACTTCTCCTTCCAAAGGTATTTTCTCTGCTTTCCAATTTTGTGCATAAACAATCCTTGCAGCTGTTATTACATGTATAATCAAATAGATATTTTCTTTACTAATTTTTTCTGGGGAATTGCATCAAATTATGATGATTGGTCACACAGTCAACCAGATGTTTAGACCAGACTTGGCATTTTCATCCACCTATCGAGTCCTTCCCAAGGTCCTGGGATAGGCAGATATTGAGGGTGAAGGTTTGTTCTCTGGGCTTGTGGGTTGGTTTCTCAACGTTTCATTACCAGGTTAGGTAACATCTTCAGTGGACTTTAGGGGGATGTCAGTGTCGGTGTTCTTCTGCTTATAAGGGCTTCATGTGGTCAGTAGATCTTGTGATGGGGAGGTCACATCAAGTGAGGATCACGTCAAATGAGAGACTTGTGATGGGTCTGGTGAAGGGTCAGGTATGGGTCATGTCAAGTGGAGGTCTTGTGATGGGGAGGTCACATCAGGTGAGGGTCACATCAAATGAGAGACTTGTGATGGGTCTTGTGATGGGTCAGGTGTGGGCCACGTCAAGTGGGGGTCTTGTGATGGGGAGGTCATGTCAGGTGAGGGTCATTGGGAAGTGAAGTGCTGGTTGGGGGGATTGCGTGAGTTGGTTAAGGGTCGGTGCGGTCACTGGTTGGCTGTGCGGTTGATTTGAATTTTGAGGGGTTCGTAGGCTGGTTGTAGGTCTATTGATGCAATTTCTTATGGAGTGCCAGGCGTTGATAAATGGATGTGCGTGACAGGTGGTAGCATGGCTGATGATTCCTGTATTGCTCCCATCAAATTGGTGCTGTTCTGTGTCAGTGTGACACCGAAGAGTAGCGGGTAGAGATTAGGGTTCGTGGTGTTCGACTGCCAGCTGGTGTTCACAGATTTTGGTTTTTAATTGATGTGATGTCAATAGGTAGATATTTCCAGAGATAGAAGGGCAGATATCCACTCATTAGGAGATCTGGCAAAAGCATGCCGAGTCACCCACCCTTGTTTCCTTGGAGGTGAGCATGGGTAACACCGAGAGCTAAGTGTTATTCATATACTGTACCAGAGCAAATCCAAGGGAAAGCAACCGTCTGAAATAAAATTCCTTTCTTGGGTTCCCTAACAGGTCATTATACACCCATTCACAGATTTCCATTTCCTATTTCCTACTGGTGTCAGCATTACATGCACAATTCTCAGTGGACTGTAGTTGGGGGGAAGGCATCTTAATAGCCTCATTATAACTCAATCCTCTTGGCAATCACCTCTCAAGCATCCTATTAGAAGAAGTGATTTGTGATGCCCAGTCAGCCTGCACATCTCTGCACATCATTCCCACTAACAGCAGGCAGCTCTTTCCCTGAGCATGCGCCCTCTCTTTCTTTCTTTCTCTCTCTCTCTCTCTCTCTCTCTCTCTCTCTCTCTCTCTCTCTTTCTCTCTCTCCCTCCCTCCCTCTCTCTCCATGTTATATTGTCTCATCTCATCCCTTCTCACTTGTGATCTCATGAATTGGTTCCCCTTCTCTTCTCTACATCGCACATTTTTAAAATTTATTTATTTATTTTCATGTGTGAAGAATAGAATAGAATAGAATAGAATAGAATAGAATAGAATAGAATAGAATAGAATAGAATAGAATAGAATAGAATAGAATAGAATAGAATAGAATAGAATAGAATTCTTTATTGGCCAAGTGTGATTGGACACACAAGGAATTTGTCTTTGGTGCATATGTTCTCGGTATACATAAAAAGAAAAGATACATTCATCAAGAATCATAAGGTACAACACTTAATGATAGTCATAGGGAAACAGTCAATATAAATCTTAAGAATACCAGCAACAAGGTTATAGTCATACAGTCATAAGTGGGAGGAGATGGGTGATAGTAATGCAGACTTAATAACTAGTTTGACAGTGTTGGACTATCTCTTTCAAAGACATCCCTTGTCAAACCCCTGCCATTCTTTAAGGGAAGGGGGGACCCCAGATACGTTATTTAGTTTATTATTTTCTTCCCTATATCCTTCACAGCTTGTACCCTATTGACTTATAACCTTTATCCTGGCGCCTAGGCACCCTGAGATTTTCTCACCTTTTGGGGAATGTAAGGGGAGGGAGGGCCATGTGGGTTGAATCACTTCGAAAGCCAGCAGAGAATGACCCTGATAAAATTCCCTTATTAAGTTCTCAGGAGGGCCATTACAATAATATCTCCATACCTGTGGATTGGCTGAATCCACATTGAACTGAAGGAAGGGGTTTCTAATTCCTTTATCCTAACTGTATTGCCTGAGGGAATTCAGAGTCTGCTTTTCTCTTGTCTTGCTATCACTCCAGTTCAATAAAAGGTTCCTTTTGAAATGCAAAAGTTTCAAGGGTCTTTACTTTCTTGAACGAGGAGAAGAGGCCGGACCTTAAATCAGAGGTGGGTTTCAGCAGGTTCTGACCAGTTCTGGAGAACCAGTAGCAGAAATTTTGAGTAGTTCGGAGAACTACTGGCTGGCCCTACCCCCATCTATTCTCTGCCTCTGAAGTCCCAGCTGATTGGGAGGAAATGGATATTTTACAGTATCGTTCCCCTGCCATGCCTACCAAGCCATGCCCACCAAGCCATGCCACACCCACCAAGCCACACCCACAGAACCAGTAGTAAAAAAAAAAATTGAAACCCACCACTGCCTTACATCCCCATTCATATGAAACTGAATAGGTAACATCCTGGTTTTCTTAGCCAGATATCATCTCAATATTAGAAACCCTATGAGATTCTCGAGGTATTGCTATCTACCTTTTGATAGATCCCACTCTAATGCTCAATTGATGAGTGTTGAAATTGGAATTCACAGTTTAAAGTAGCAACATTAGCCATACTCCAATAGCGCACCAAACCATATTTTCCTAAGAGTCGTTATTATTGCATTGCAGTCATGTAGGGAGCACTGGGTTGAAAGGATTAGTTGGTGACATCACTGTTGCCCAGGAGACATCCATTGGGGGGGGGGTCCTTTCATGTCCCTGGCAGAAGCTGGAGCAAAGGACAGGAGCTCACCCTCCCCCACAGCAGCACTCAGATCTCAAATGTGGGTGTCAGGCCTGGAAGCCATCTTTTTCGTTGGGCCTTCAGGCCTGCCATATTTACTACTGTGGGAAACAGGGAGTGGGGATTGTATGGAGCCACAGTGATGTATAGTCATAACAACATTCCTTTCTCAGAGAGTCAAGGACATCTTGCCCTGCACCTGGACGACTGGAACAGGGAGGCATTTCTAGTTGGGACAGTGCTTGGATTGGACCATGTGATGGACATGTGGGTGTTGGGCAGGGACTTGAACTTCCCTTTGGGTGGGGAAACCCTGGAAGCTTTCAGATTCGGATTTTCTCAGATGTGCCAATATGACGTCTCTAACAAAATGGAACTTTGAGCAAACTCAAGCCTCGGAGTTTTCTTTCGTTGGGGGTGTTACTTGTAAGACTGACATTGGGATTGCTAACCTCCAATCCAGCGTCTTAACCACACGAGCCACGAGGCTCTCTAAATCATTACCGTAGCAGAAAACTACAATAAATATTGAAATAAAATAACTCACTGGCCATTGATGACTCCATCTGGATTCAGCATGGGAATAATCTTGAAGATGAAGCATTGCCGCAGGAGATCAGCAAGTGGATCGTTACTGAGCAGGAACTCCAGAGTCCCCTTCATAACCCAGCTGGAATTGCTCTCACCAGGGTGAACCCGTGCCGTGAGTACGACATAAGGACGGTCACCTAAAGAAAGAAAACATACTTGTTATGCCAATAGAAGAGGATATTTGTAACGCATGGTGTCCTTGGGGTTGTCTGAGCTTGGCTGTTGTCTTGCAGACATTTTATTACGCTACTAGGTAACATCATCAGTCCCAGAAGGGAGTTGGGTTTCCTCTTTGTTTATATACAAGTGGCTTGCTCTGTCATACTCTGTGTATTTTTTCCCCCTCTGCTTATCTAGCCACTCGGAGGCTTCAGCTGGTGCAGAATGTGGCCGCGCGGGTTGTAATGGGAGGATCCTGATACTCCCATGTTACACCTCTCCTGCGTGACTTGCATTGGTTGCTGGTTGCCCTCCGGGTGAGATTCAAGGTGCTGGTGTTAACCTATAAAGCCCTTCATGGCTTAGGCCCAGGATATCTGTTGGACCACCTGCAACCAGTATTGACTTCCCATCGCCCAGTGCATTCCCACAGAGAGGGCCTACTCAGGGTGCCGTCAGCTAGACAATGTCAGCTGGCGACCCCCAGGAGTAGAGCCTTCTCTGTGGCTGTGCCCACCCTTTGGAATCAACTTCCCGTGGGTCTTTGGCTGGCCCCCGACCTTCGTACCTTCTGCTGTGAGTTTAAGACCTGGCTGTTTCAACATCCCAGCCAGGACTGATGGGGTCTACTGTTTTAAATTGGTTTTTAGACTGTTTTAGTATGTTTTAATTTGTATTTATTGTGATCGTTTCGTTTGATGTGAGCCGCCCTGAGTCCTTTGGAGAGAGGGCGGCATATAAATCCAAATAATAATAATAATAATAATAATAATAATAATAATAATAATAATAATAGCAGCAGCAGTATCTTAAGTACATGCTTGCTTTGTTTTTCTAATTTTGTAAAAACAAAAATAAGACAATAGGTAGCAATAATTCAGATTGAAAACACAATGTAATACACCGTGAAAAAAAGGCACAGAAGGCTTTATGTAAGTGTCTGTCAAGAAATGCACATTAAAAGCCTCAATTGCTTGTATTGCTCACTGGTTCTGAGAGCCAGAACAAACTGATGTTCTCAGGTTCCCAGATGTTTTTTACTTTGTGTCACAAGGTCTTTTGGTCGATACTCAATTCAGTGGCCTCCAATACCCCCGAGGGCCCACTCCATCCTCCCTGGCCTTTAGCCAACCTCCACACTAACAGACCTTTGGGTAGTGGTCCCAGTTTGTTATCCCAAAAGGTGTTTTTTCAAGAGGCAACTGGTCTTTCTTGTTTTTCCTTGAAGACGTTTCGCTTCTCATCCAAGAAGCTTCTTCAGCTCTGACTGGATGGTGGGGAATGGAAGGATTTGTACTCCTTGCAGACAGCTGGTCAAGGAGTATAAATCCTTCTATTCCCCACCATCCACTCAGAGTGAAGAAGCTTCTTGGATGAGAAATGAAACGTCTTCAAAGAAAATCCAGAAAGCCCAGTTGTCTTTTGAAAAAGCATCTTTGGAACAACCATGATCTAGATGACTGAGAATCTCCATAGACACTCCCAGTTTGTTATCACATCCCCTCATAGATCTACTGCTACTCCTTACTATCATGAGTAAACTAAACAGTTCTGCTTAACTTCAGTTTACTTCCAGTTCCTATATAAAATAAGCAAAACCCACAGTCCTTCTCACTCCCAGAATCCTTCGATACAGGGGTGAGCTTCAAAAATTTTAGCAAGGGGTTCTCTGCCCAGTTGCTGGGTAGGCCTAGTCAGTCTCCTGCACCACAGTGGGAGGGGCATTTTTGTCCTCCCTGGGCTCCGGAGACGTTCCTTGAGCCTCCAGGAGGGCAAAAACAGCCTCCCCAGGCTCCGGAGGCCCTCTGGAGGCCAGAAACAGGCCCCCTTCCCGAACTTCCAGTAGGCCTGTTTTTCGCCCTTCCTGAACCTCCGTGCACACCCTGCACTTACCTGCCTCAAAAACGGGCCACGTGGGGACTCCTGGGAGGGGAGAGGTGGCCGGGGCCAGCCAGGAGTGGGATTTGGGGGTTCTCCGTACTGCACAGAATCTTAGCTAGAGGTTCTCCTGAACCCGTGCAAACCCCTAGCAGCCCACCCCTGCTTCAATGCCAACTGCTCTACCACAATCACACCACACATAACCACTTTGCTGCAGAGCTTTTATAGCTGCCCTTTCATATCAGCTGGACTGGTTGGGGGAGTGATCTTAAAAGGTAGGGCACCTTCAGTCCAGGTGCTGGTTAATATCAGGCATTCTGCTCTTTCCCACTTTCCCTTTTATTTGCAACTATGCCAAGTAAGTCTTTTGTTTTGTCTTATCATGACTGCTCTTATATGGACTGGAAATAATGGTTGTGACTTGGTCTTTCTTACATGTAGAAACAGGTCCTTCTTCAACCTGGTACCCTTCAAAGTCATTGCTATACAATGCTCAACCAATCTAGTCATCCCTAATATGACTGAGAATGTTGTCGTCTAACTTATCCAGACATCATCAATGTGAGAAATTCATCCTTTTGGGTAAGAACGAACAAATATCAATTCCTCCTACAGGGCAGAATGACATTTTTGAATGTTCACCATTTCCCCCCCTCCTTAAACTTCGCAAAAAGAAAAGTAACTGCAAGTTTTAAAGGAATGGGTCCATCTTTCAAGAAATGCAATCTCTGAAGCAGAGTTGAAATGGAAACAAAATAGCCCTCATAAAGCCATCGTAAAAAACAATGATAAGAAAAATGGGTAATTGTCATCACAGCAGAAAATCCATTTTTCCGCTTGCTAAAGTTTTTGTTCGTGTTCTTTTTATTTCCTTTCTTCCATGGGCATTCTTAAAACTAGGGTGTCAGGTTTCAAATGGCACAAATCGTAATTTGTGCCCCAAAGCTCACTGTAACAGCATTTCCAAAAAAGGCGCTAAGAGTTGTTAACCTAATTTTGCAAAGTTTCTTCTCTGTTAATATTGTACTGCTGAGGCATACAAAACCTTTGCCAGACTAATTCTTGAATACAGCTCGTCCATCTGGAATCCACACTGTATTTCGGACATTGATTGAGCAGGTCCAGAGGTATTTTACGAGACGAGTACTCCACTCCTCTACTCACAATAGAATTCCCTATGCCACCAGGCTTAAAATTTTGAGCTTGGACAATCTGGAATTGTGCTGCCTGCAGTCCAATTTAAGCATAGTACACAAAATTGTCTGCTGCAACATCTTGCCTGTCAACGACTTCTTCTGTTTTAACCACAATAGTACACGAGCAAACAATCAATACAAACTCAAGGTAAACTGCTTCAAACTTGATTGTAGGAAATATGATTTCAGCAATTAATACCTGGAATGCTCTACCCGACTCCGTTGTTACAGCCTCAAACCCTCACAACTTCAACTTCAAACTGTTTACTGTGGACCTCACTCCCTTCTTAAGAGGTTTGTAAAGGGGGTGTGCATAAGTGCACCAGTGTGCCTACCGTCCCTGAATACTGTCCCCATTTATTTGTATTTACTTGTTTATGTTTATGTTCATACCTGTTCTGCCCCAGCTATGGGTCCCAAGAAGTGTAGCACACACACAGAGCTCCAAAAACTCTGTTTAATACAAACAGACCCCTTTCAAAATGCAGGCTTTAACCACAAATGCCCTTATCAGCCTGCTATGAATTACAGAGATTAAACAAAGTCTGACAAAGGTTGGCAATCAGCCCAGAAACCAAGCTGTAACAAAAAACTCACTCTCAAAATGCTCTGCATAGGACCAAACGTTGTTTCCAGCAACATTTGCTATCTGTGTGCGAACTTAAATAGGCTAAGGGAGTGGCCAATTAACCCCAAGCCTTACTCTTAAGAAGACCTCCTCCTGAGTAGCCACTCCTGCCTTTTGGCAGCCCTGAGTGCTCGAGCATTGAGAAGAGGCTCCTCCACTTCACTCTCTTCACTTGAAGGAGCCTCTGGAGGTTCTGAAAGCCCTGGCTGAGTCTCTGCCTCTGCCTCTGGCACCACATCCTCTTCAGCCTCCTCGCTGTCCGACTTGAGTCCAGGCTGCTGGCGCGACACCACACCAGCCTCCTCATCGTCGGGATCAGCCACAATCCGCGCAGGCCGCTGGCGGGCCACAACACTACCTATACTTGTCATCTTGTACATGTTTGACAAACAAACAAATAAATAATATCCCCCCCCCTATTTAAATACTTGTGTGACAGTTTTCACTGTTAGGGAAGGCTTTAACTACACACACATACACACACACAATTATTTTACAAATAATTCAAGGCAGCAAACATATCCAATACACCTTCTACCTCCTAATTTTCCCACAACTGCCATGTGATGTGGATTGGGATGAAATATAATGACTTGGCCCAAAGTTATCCAGCAGCTTTCATGGCTAAGGCAGAACTAGAACTCAACATCTCCTGGTGATTGGCCCAAAGTCACCTAGCTAACTTTCATGACTATGGCAGAATTAGAATTCACCATCTTTACCCAGCTGGCTTTCATGGCTAAGACAGAACTAGAACTCACCATCTCCTGGTGATTGGCCCAAAGTCACCCAAGCCGGCTTTCATGGCTAAGGCGGGACTAGAACTCATGGTCTCCCCATTTTTTTAGCCCGGTGCCTTAACCACTAGAACCAACTGGTTAAAAGACTTCTCTGAAGTGGCTGTTAGAACCAATAAAAAATAGTGAGACTTCAGTAACTCCGATCCCTCACTAGGAAGTTTACGTACATCCCTAGTTCTTATTTACTGTCTCATTTTAAACATCATTACACTGCACTGCAAACATCATTCCAGGCTCTCTCTTGTTCAGATAATGAACAGCCACTTCTGATTCCAAATCCTTTTCAAGGTTTGCCAATAATAAAGGGAAGAGAATGAAATATCTTCTTTCTGAAAATGATGTGCATTGACAATCTTGATCCAGAGCTGGCAGCCTCTATGACAATTATATGGTTTGATGGGTGACACTCTGAGAGAGATCGCTTTCGTTCTGTGGAAAAACAGCAATTGAGAGCACCAGCCTGCTTTCAAAAC